CGACTGCAAAGTACACTAGACTCGCCTTGGACAAATACATTGGGAGCCTCTCACCGTTCACACACACATGTGAAGCGTGCATTGACGCAGAGAATGTGCGGAAAACCAACGAGAAAGCCAGATTGGTGAAATTCGTTGGTGAGAGAAAGAAAATCGATAATTGAAGGGTATCAATTTGTCAATGACACACAAAAAGTCATAACAATTGATTCCCAAACACAAACAAACAATGATGATGAAGCCGGCTATGAATCGAATGCGACTGATGTAACCGTCAAGGGAAAAATCGAGTGATGAAAATGGTGCGAAAAATAAAAAGAAAAAGAAGAAAAAAAAGAGCAAAAAGAAGAAGGGGGAAAAAGAGCAAAATAACACAAATACAGACAAAAATACAGAGCATGAACAAAGACTAGGACAGCAGCAACAACAACAACAACATCAGAGTGACCATTTACAGGATGGTCAGTAGGGTGTTTCCGGTGTCAAAATAATGGAAAATGGTATCATTCAATCGAAAGAGGAGAAAATTCTGTATTGAAAAAGTGTTTTGATCGTGTTAAAAAGTTGAAACTCACACTTCCTCAATCCAAAATAAAAAAGAAAACATTAGACATTAATTGTCAATTTGAAATGTAATCGCAAAGTGCACTAGATTTAGATGAATAAAGTTCATAAATATTAAAAAAAATAATTAATATAATTTTATTTTATATAGTGAGCAGTTTTTTCTATAATAAATATTTTCATCATCATTCATTGAACATTATCCTTCGTATAAAATGAATCAGTTAACATACTTAGAGCGTGTACGTTAAAACAAACAGTTAATAACGTCTATTTTCAAGATAAAATTAATTCGTCGTCTATTAATTATTATTTTTTAGCCATCCGTATCAGTTGTGTACAAGACATGGGAATCATTTTCTACACGTGGATTGAGCGATTATAACGGGGGCGGCATGGCAATAATGGACGTAAATAAGTAAGATAGCAGAATACTTCCCTAATCAATTGAATTCATGGTTTCATATGTGTTTTTAGCGGGAATATTACTTATCTACCTACCCCATTCATCACGCAATTTCCTACAATGAATGATGTATTGCGGGCAAACATTCGCACATATTCTACGTTCGAAGAGTAAGTTATGTTCATACCAAAATTATGAGTATTTTTTTCAAGTATTTTCAAGTAACATTAATTGAAATTTTTTCAGTGTATGCGCAGGATTCTTTAAATATCCAGATGCTTTACCTGGCGTTAGTTCTGTTGTTCATACACATTCAGCCAATGCTAAACAGGTCGCTGCTAAGCACACCGGTGGATATATGATTCCTCGAGATTTCGACGTAAACACACAGGTACATTCCACACGAGCTATAGAATGTTAAATTTATAATTGAATTTTGATTATGGTCTTCATTTTAATATAATATTTTACAATTTTCACAGGGCATTTCAAACCGAACAAAAGGTTTCCACATTCAAGATATCCACATACCCGTGCTTCCAGCTTGCTCAACAAATGACGAACTTATGGCAAGATTGAATGAATGTTTCAATTATAATCCAAATTCGTGCAGTGCCTTGGTACAAAGACACGGACTTTTTGTCTTTGGTGCTACATGGCAAGAAGCAAAACGCGAGTGAGTATTTCTGATAACTAAAATGGAGTGTAGTAAAAAGGTCAAATTGTTCTCAATCTTTCCCACAGATGTGAATCATTGGAAAAGATCTTCGAAATCGAGCTAGCATAATAACTTTGCATACAAACCTACAAAAACAAGAAAAACACTATGAAATTCTTTATGTTTATTGAGAACTCAATGTATAAATGCATCACTTTTTTAATATAAAATTGTTATTTCCAAGTTGGAATTAGAACTATGTATTTTTTTTATTTGAACAACTGTCAAAATCCATATTCAAATTGTCGGAACAGTCAAGTGTATCTTTCAATTAAATCCGTTGTGCGGTTGTGTGGGACGTCTGGGAAATTGTCAAAAATAGGGATGCCCGATTCGAGAAATTCACATATGTTCGTCTGTCAACACTCAACACACACACGCGCACATACATCTAATGCATATGTGACGTTGATATGACGTACGATCAGTGTTAATTGAATATGTTTCCTCTGCTCAACATTAGAGACATTAGTTCAATTTGTAAATGTTTTCATTCTCTTCATCATCAGATTTATTTTTGCAAATTCTGTGTTCAGCCATTTCTAGAATAAAAAAGTCAATCTACGTACTTTTTTTTTTTTGCTTGGTACATGTGTTGTGTTATTGTTCGTTTGATCAGTATATAAACATCATACATATTAGTTGGTTTTCATTGTACGATACGTAGCAGCAACGGTTTACTAAAAAATGGAATCTATTAAATATACAAATTTACATGCAGAAACCAGTGGTTCACTGAACCTTACCGATATTAATGATGACTGTAAAACACTGATTTTCAAACATTTAGAATGGAAAGACCTGATAAGTGTTGCAGAAACAAGTAAACAGCTGTACAAAGCAGCTTGCGATGTTTACAAACAGAAATATGGCAAAGGGAGACTATCTGTACTACACCGCCGGTTTGTAGCCAATTGAATTGAGGTATTTGCTGAATGATTACTTATTCGTTTTTTTGTAATTTTCTTTCAGGATTATTAGATCAGCTACGGAACCAGATCTCTATTTGTGGCATGCCTTGGATTCGTTGAAAATTTTGAGGAATTTTGGACATGTTGTTTCGCACATAATGCTTTCATACGATTATCGTTTATCTTCTTGTCGATTTGTTTTCCACATCGAGAACTATATCGCAAAATATTGTTCAAAGTCTCTGAAACAATTATCATTAGACTTTAAGCCAATATATTTATTCAAAGAAATAGGAAAATTGTTTGTAAATATCGAACATATACATTTAAATTGCTTTTATTATCCTATTCATGAATTATCGTTGGATTCAATTTTTCCGAATCTAAATTCCGTGCGATTGGAATTTTATGAATTTAATTTCATGCCCATTAGCATCCCATCTATGAAAAAATTGTCCATTTTTTACATTGGCAAAAACAAGCAGGACACCGAAATTGGACGATTTCTGGAAATCAATCCACAACTTGAGGATTTGAATTTACATTTGTACTATTCATTCAGCGATACCTTGTCTCAGAGGCTCAGTGAAAATTTACCAATGCTAAAACGATTAAGTTTGAGAATGAAATTGACGCAAAATGTGGAACGATATAATTTGATAAATGTTATTGAGTTCCGGTTACGCCCAATAAACCACGCATTTCCATATATTCCCTTCACTTTTACCAAACTTGAACGATTTGAGTGTGAATGTTATTTAGAGGACCCAATGAATTCGCGTATTTTTGATTTTATAGCTGAGAATAGTCAATTAAAATCAATAACAATTAGCGGAGCTTATGACCAATTCATTGATAGATTATTTCAACTGAATTCTGTTTTGTCGACAGTTGAGGAACTCAACATCAGGGCTATGTCTACGTTCCCAATATCGATTTCAGATCGAATTTTCGATTTATTTTCACAGAATCAATCTTTGAAGAAGTTGACTTTGACCGGAAAATCGATCTTCACGAAATGGTTAAATGATTTTGTAAAATCAAAAATTTGCAAACGAGAAAAAACTCAATACGGCCTTAAACTGACACTGTGTCCACACATGGTGTAATATTCATGCTGATTTATCCGCGTTCTTTTTTTTATCAAAATGTAACTGTACTTTTTATTCAATTTGAAATTTATGATAGCTATTATTTTTAACTTAATGTATTGTACTCTTTGGATACAAATTTTAAATAAATAATAAGAAAAACGCAAAGCTAGTTTGAGCGGGTGTGTTAGTCCTCGCCCAGATCGTTTTTGTTGACCTAAGGCGTTAAGGCAGCTAGCAGTTGCCTCATACTGTAAATTTTCAATCATTCGAATTACTGTTGATATGGAATCGTCTTTCCATTTCATTTAAAACGTAATCTAATACTTCAAAATACGTCGATTTAAAATTTTGACTTTCTGGTTGATTTTCACAAATATTCATCATAACGATTGAGTCATTTAGACGAGATGAAGGCCGGCGAACTCATTGCGATCTTTGCTCATGTTCAAAATTACTTAATGTAAGAAAAGAACGCTGTTCGCAACAACAAGAATGATAACGCAGCTTGACCTGGTCAACTATAAAAAACGAATTTACGAAAGGGTTTCACTAAATAAATTATTGTGAATTCCGTAAATAAATGAACATCGCAAAATAATATTTTAGCTTAATATCAAAGCTTACTTGCGATCGCAGTGGCGTAATATATTTCGTAGCCGTTCTTTGGTTTCAGCATCACTTTCATCGTTTTTCTTCTTCGTCTTCTTCTCTTTGTTCATCAGAAAAACGAATGCATTGCCATCGGTTTGTATTCGATTGGCGAATGTTAAGCCGGCCGAATGGCGTTCGATTTTACTGATGCCAAAATATTTACGCCACATGCGATCTCACAGTTCTTTGTTGCTATTGAACGGTTGTTGCCAGGGTTTATAACTGCCATTGTTCTTTTTCATTTCCGGTTCCTTTGGGTTTTTCAACCGCTTAAGGATTTCATAGAGGCCACGCTTGTCGATTTGGATGTAGATACGACCAAAACGTGCCTCCGGAATGACTTGATACACGGTCAAATTTGGCGCACATCGAACCCATGTATATTTGACACCTGGCAATCGTTTTCGTGGCACATAATCGGCAATTGGACGACAGATTGATTTCGATTTAGTGTGAGTGGTGGCCTGAAGTTTGGCCTTTGCTGCGGCAACTTCAGCCGGTTGTTTCTTTTCATCTTCATCCATTTGTTTATTGATCATGAGACAGCGTTCACGATTTCTTGCACGACAATATTGCTGAAGTTTTACGAAAAATGGCACATGACGATACCAATTTGTTGTCAATTTGGTGAAATAACCGCGTCGATTCGCTTCGAAATCCATCGGAATAAAATCGGTTTGAATACGCTTCAGAAGACGTTCGATAGCTGGTGTC